GTGCGTGTAAAAAGCGTGTTTCATTTCATAATAATCGTGATTGGCATGGTACATTGTAGTTCGGTTCGTGCTTTTATGAGACAACTCGCATTAATTTCAGAGTGCATGGTGAACGTACACAACGTGGTTCGCATTCTTTCTATTCTGTCATTTACCCAGGATGAACCCCGATGTTGCAATACTGGAGTAATCCATATAGTAGTAGCTTTCGAAAAGCCAAAAATGTGATCGTTAAGTCGTGTACCTGGTTATTGGGCATGGGTTACTTTGAGACTATCATGAAAGGCTTAGGGTTTGAACGATGTGACATGTTGGCGGCCGTGAAAGGTGTTTAAATTCTTCCTCCACACTAAGTTTACCCGCGGTTACTATTAACCGTCAGTTGTATTTCAGAAATTGCGAATCGCCAGTTTTTAGGGAAAAAATCATCGTTGTTTCGTTGCAATCAGCGCTACATTTTAACATTACGGTAATTCACTTCCGCATTCCGTTAAAAAATCATCGTCAATAATCGGAAAATTTCATCATTGCGACACATCATTTTGATTGGTTAATGAAAAACATGACCTGTTAGGTCAAAGGAAGTTGTTTCAGGTCAAATCGTGCTGAAAAACCTCATGGTGGAAAATTGCTTTGCGTCGAGAGTTTGCGTACGATCGAAAACATACCAAAACGAAGATAATGATAAATGCCTTTGACTGTTTCCCCACAGACCCTACCCATTCTTTCACCGTAAATTCAGACGGTATGTAAATCGTATTGTAATAAAATGTGTGATTTTTATGAACATGTTTGTTTTTTCATTAAAGTGTCGTGGAAATCAATGACGCATTTTTTTTTCAAAAATCAGTATTATTTTCCCGAGCCCGGCGTGATGAACGAATAATTGTTTTAGATAATTTTTCGTTGTTGGCAAGATGGTTAGTGTTTATCCCCAAAACAAAATCATCTTTTCTGAGTTGGTCCTAGAGAATATGCTCATCCCTTACTTTTCCCTTACTTGTTCATGCCTATGATCAGGGGAGAACGGTATACCATGGATGTTCTTAGTACATCCATGCACCTACGAACTCAAGATTGCATACTCCAGCTTCCAGACTTTGAATAATTTGCACGCCGTACAGTGCAGTACTGGAAACAGCATTTATTAGACAGACAAAAAACAAAACAAAATGCCTGTCTCGATCAATCGCATATCCATAATGTTTGTATGTTGATACGCTTGTAAATAACATTAACGTAAAAGTCGAAACAACCTAGACTAGAAGTCAATTCACCAGTCCAGCCAACTATGGCTTCCTAAGTTGTTTATATTTAATCAGATACTACTGTAAAATGACTAATTTTCACTGGGTTTAAATTTCACTGATTTACCATTTCAGGCATATTCAGTGGGTTTTAAATTCACGGTTTTGTCATTTAGATAATGTGTTCTATGCTAAATTTTACATATTCACTGGGTTGTAATTTAGCGCATTTTCCAGTCAGCGAAATAAGCTAAACTAAAACCCAGTGAATAATTACCCCCTTTACAGTATTTCGTCATCATGCTTTGTTGCCTTTCCTGTTTATACCTTATGAGGGCATTTTTTTATGGCAAGATGGCGCAAACGGAAGTCCTTTACAGGTTTATGGTTTCTCATATTTAAATCATCATAACTCTGAAGATAATCATTTTTTTTAATTTTTTTTTTCAAATTTATAATCAATATACATAACTTGATAAATACAAACCCCAAATTAGGCTCTATTTAGTGCCCCTTTAATACTTAATTTAATGGATTACAAGCAACATTACTTCAAAGAAACTCACTTGGTCATGCAGTTTCCTGTCTATTATAAGTGCTGAGGTTTATTATCAATATATTATAAGATCTGCCACCATTTAGATTGAAATAGCCGCTGTTCATTCTGTTCAAATATGTGAGGGGTGTTTGATTGACACTCAACTCATTAATTATGCAAATTCATAAACACAGGGTAAAGCATACCAATCATTAAAAATCGCAAGAATTAGTTCTTAAAGTTAGAATTCAATCTACCTATACCTATTAAGCTATGCCTTTTAAATTTTTTTACCTTGCCTGTAACATCAAAGATGGAAGGGAAAGGTATATTAAGGGAAAAATTTCTGTCCGGCGTTGTCGTTGTCATCGTCAACGTTAATGTTATTGTGTGCACAATAACTTTACCAATTCTATTCCAAACTTTATGAAAGCTTATTTATCAGTCTTCCCTTGGTATGAACAACAGATGTCCTGTATGGAAATATCATGCAAAAATTGAGAAAATCTGATAAAATATTTTGACTGTTTCTACGATCACTGGTGATACACATTCAAAGGTCACTAATCTCAGTGGGAATATGCATTGTTGTATGTGTTCAATGAAGCAAATCATTTATCTTGTAATAATATCCTTGGTAATGTATCTCCCAAATCCAATGGGAATACTAGACTGGGTTTCAAAACCAACTCATGGAGAGAGTTTTTGCACAGTCTGATACACATTTGCAAACCTACAATAAAATCTTTACAGAAAACAAGATGTCAGAAAATCAATATATCAATGGGTGCCAAACTTTGATAAAGATCTGAAACTAATAGAAAATAATGATAATAGTTATCAAATCAAAAACAATACATAAAAAAATACATAAGCAAAATGTTGCATCCACATTTTGAAAAGAAAATTGTACTGAAAAATTGGTATTCTGTATTTGACAAACAGTTCATTCGACAAATGAAAATTCACAGGAATTTGTTTCAGCTATTAGAACAAAATAATAGAGCTTTTATAATAATATTTTTAAAACACACTTTAAAAAAACAAAGATTGCAATGTTTGAAGATGTAGATTCTCAGGCAGCAAAAGTACTGTTGACTTTTCTCTCCACTAGACACCAACTAATTATTTAAGTTGATTTGCATTACAAAGCAGAGCTTGCAACATAATAGAGGGCGTTTTTTTTTTTTTTACTTTTCAAATAATACAGTAGTCACACAATGAATATAATAAGGCAGTTCATATTTGTCTCAGTGGATCATTAATTTTTGACAGACACCTGTACAAAATACATGGGCAAAAGATTTTCTGTTATCTTGCTTGATTTATGAATCTATTCATGTCTAAATGCAGCACTTTTTTCTGAGATGCGGCATTTGTTTTTATACTAAAATATCTTAATTACTTTGAATGCAGCTGGAAATTATGTTCCTTAAATGAATTAAACAAATTAGGCACCAATGATTTTGTGCAATATTTACATCTATCAAGGACATTCAGTAAACTACTTTCCCACTGTTGTTTCAACCCAAAAACTTGTTTGTATCAAAATTAATTATGACAATGCATATTTATATTGAAACAAACTATGATAAAGAGAATAACATTATATAACAAAGGGCAAGGTCACCAGAGTTCAAGTATGTTTTCATGTTAATAAATAAATTTTGCTCTATCGGTTAAAAGTTATTACACTGATAATACTTTATTTAATGATGGGATTTGAGGTTTTGTGTTTTATTTTCAGCTGTTATTTATAAGCATTTTTGCCATATGATTGAATGGCATGTCATCATGAGGATGAGATTCTTGATGAGAAGTTTGTATAATCTGTCAATCTCACAAAACATGTTCATACTATGTTTGCATCTTCTTTTATGCACATCTAAGTGTTCAGAATTACAGTTCACTGTTATACATGTAGTTTCCCAGTACACCATAGTCAAAATGGAATTCCTAAAATGAAGTCAATCTGTTGACTGCTTGGCAGACTGTTTCTTGATAAATTTTTGGTTTGTCGATGGCATCAACTCAAAATAAAGAATACGGTGTATGGAAATTCCATTTTAATAATCTTCAATTCCGTTTGAACATCCTTAACTTTCCTGATCTTTGAAAATATTGCTGAGGATACAGAATACATGTCACTACAATCCATATACTCAATTTGGTATTTCTTATATTTATAGCATATACATGTAGCTTACATTTATTTTTCTCTTGCTGTCCACAGCAATGGAGGTGCTGGCTGATCTAGCGCACACACACTGTGATGCCTGTATCAAGTTTAAATGTAATGTGAAACCCAAAGTGAACTTTGCATGTCCTATGGTCACATGTCAGCAGGACTGCGGTGCTAGGTTTCATGCTTGTAAACTGGATGACCATCGAATGCTGTGCTCCAATGAGAGGGTTCCATGCATCAATTCTGTCTATGGTTGCCCTCTCATCATTGTTAGGTTTCAAATGTCAAGACATTTACATGTTTGTCCAGCCAGTGTGGTGCACTGTACAATGGAATGGAACCGCTGGCCGGTCTGCTCAAGTGAAAGACAGTCCCATGTCCCCTTCCGTCAACCCAATCCCCTTATTGTACCAGAGCAATTGGATATTGCCTTGGCCTTACGAGATCAACGCATGTTAAACGAATCAATGAAAGCATCTGTACATCTGCGCAGGGCAATGAAAACCAACTTAACAAACACACATCCAGCAGTACCATTATTGAAGCAGTCTAACTCATATGATGATGAGGGAACCAAAAGCCTTGAATGGAACAAAGAACGCTCAGTGACTCCCCCTGGTTTGCAATCAAGTATATGTAATGAATTATATAAAGCTACACAGAGAACTACTGAAACTTTGTCTGCGACATTAGATATGGTAACCAGCTCTGGTTCTTCAACTACTGGTGCTAATGGTAATTTGGATATTGCTACAGAAAGCCATGATGACTACGATGATTTCCTAGTACCTGGCAACAACACGTTTGGTCACGAAATATGCAAAGAGAGTTTCTTCCTTCGTACTGAAGCGCCACCTCCTGGGTTAATCTTATCATCATTTGGATTGCGCCATGTTACTACGAAGGATAAGCCAACTGTAAACCACAGCTATCTTGCAGTTAATCCAGCGGAGTTGAACGTTGAGTGTGCGCATTGTAGAAAATGGAGAAAGAAATGGAAGGAAGAAGACGAGTTGAAACAGGAAGCTGCAGGAAAGGCTAGTAAAGCAAAAGAAGGTGGTGGTGATGCGAATCATTGTCATAGCAGCAAAAATGGTTATGATGGAAAGGCAAGTACTGATTTGTACCGAATTTTATATAC